TCCCAGAGTGCTGAGATTACAGGTGTGAGCCACCACACCCAGCCTGTTTCTACTTTTGACTGTTGTGAATAAGGCTGCTATAAACATTTGTGTACAAGTTTTTGTTTGAACACTTGTTTTTAATTCTTTAGGCTATATACCTAGGAGTGAAATTGCTAGATTATATGATAATTCTGTGTTTAACTTTTTGAGTGACCATTAAATCATTTTCCACAGTGGCTGTAGCATTTACATTCCCATAAGCAGTGCACAAGGGTTACCATTTCTCCACGTTCTTGCCAACACTTATTATTTCTGTTTGTTTTAGAGACGGGATCTCACTCTGTCACCCAGGCTGGAGTGCAATGACACCACCATAGCTCACAGAAACCTCAAACTCCTGGACTCAAGCGACCCTCCCACCTCTGCCTCCCGAGTAGCTGGGACTATAGGCATGTGCCACTGCACCGGCCCTTATTTTGTTTTTATCACAGCCATCTTGGTGGGGGTGAAGTGGTGTTTCACTGTAGTCTTGATTTACATTTTGGGAATGACCAATGATGTGGAACATCTTTTCATGTGCTTCTAGAGCCTTTGTATATCTTCTTTAGAGAACTGTTTATTCCAGTTCTTTGCCCATTTTTAATTAAGTTGTTGTTGTTGTTGTTGAGCTGTAGGAGTTCTTTATACGTATCTCCCTTATCAAATATGTGTTTTGGGAATATTGTCTCCCATCCTGTGGGTTGCCTTTTCACTTTCTTGATACTGTCCTTTGATAAGACCTGGGCCTTTTGCAAATCACCCAAGCACTTCCGGGGAGCTTATCCTCCCCGAGCTGTGCATGAACAAATCAAAGCCTACGAGAAGCCCTGTGTTTTACCTTTTGAGGAGGGATCCCCATTTATCCATTCGGGTTTGGTCCACAAGGCTGGATCCCTTCCTCCCCGCTCCCTTCAAGTATTCAAAGACTTGGGTCAAACAAGAAAGGAGAGAAGAGAGAGCATCATCAATGCCCACCAATGACTGAGAAAATGGATCTGGACCTGGTCTCAGGACTCAAGAAACAAGGGCTTTGTAATCCAAGCACTCTGGGAGGCTGAGGCAGGAGAATCGCTTGAGCTCGGGAGTTCGAGATTGCTGGGAAATGGCCATGCTCCCAGCAAAAAATCGGGTCCCTTAGGTAGGAGTCCTTGCAAAGGATAAGAAAATAATAGAAAATGGAAAATAATAGAAATAAAAGAATACACAGAGATGAAGGTATAGTTTTATAGATTTATAAAAATTATAGACAAAGCGGGTGCTTAGGGGGCCTTGGATCTCTCCGTCAATCACAAAAGGCCAAGAGTGAAGTTTTACATGGGCCTTTATAGGTACAGTGATCAGTTGCCAGGGGTAACAGATTTACATAACAACAGGTAGTTCCTCTTAGGTTAAAAGTTTTTCAAAAGGCTTCTTCAGATCACTTAATTAATTCTATCTACCTGAACAAATGGTTACAAAATCTTTCAAAGACTGGCCCAGCGCGGTGGCTCACACCTGTAATCCTAGCACTCTGGGAGGCCGAGGCTCCTTTGAGCTCAGGAGTTCGAGCCCAGCCCGAGCAAGAGCGAGACCATGTCTCTACTAAAAATAGAAAGAAATTACTTGGACAACTAAAAATCTATATAGAAAAAATCAGCTGGGCATGGTGGCATATGCCTGTAGTCCTAGCTACTCAGGAGGCTGAGGCAGGAGGATCGCTTGAGCCCAGAAGTTTGAGGTTGCTGTGAGCTAGGCTGATGCCACGGCACTCTAGCTCAGGCGACAGAGTGAGACTCCGTCTCGGAAAAAAAAAAAAAAAAATCTTTCAAAGACTAACTTCTAAGTTCTAAGGTAAATTTATCACTTAACAGAAGGGTTAAACAGAGATATATTGGCTCCATATTTTCTTTATCAAGTTATTGTGAATGGAGCCAGGTAGTCAGGAGTTTAAGCAGGAACTGTCCCCTGGGCTAATTGCTTTTAGCCACAGGTGGCTGTCTGTCGGGCGGGCACTCTTTGATCAGCTCTCATCCTGTGGCTCTTAGCAGACCTGCTTTGCTTCTTTTTTTTTTTTTTTTTGAGACAGAGTCTCACTGTGTTGCCCGGGCTAGAGTGCCATGGCATCATCCTAGCTCACAGCAACCTCAAACTCCTTGGCTCAAGTGATCCTTCTGCCTCAGCCTCCCGAGTAGCTGGGACTACAGGCATGTGCCACCATGCTCGGCTAATTTTTTCTATGTATTTTTAGTTGTCCGATTAATGTCTTTGTATTTTTTTTAGTAGAGACGGGGTCTTGCTCAGGCTGGTTTCGAACTCCTGAACTCAAACAATCCGCCCGCCTCGGCCTCCCAGAGAGCTAGGATTACAGGCGTGAGCCACCGTGCCCGGCCCTGCTTTGCTTTTCAAAGCAAGTCTAAACCTCAGGTCTGAGAATCGCCGCGCCATTGTGGGGTACAGCCAGCTACTGATCTTTCAGAGATGCCCTCCTGAGGTGAAACAGCTTTCAATATACAAACTAACACGTTCACATATTCCTTCAGGGCAAAGCCCTGCAAAACTCCTGAGACGTTTCTGTCTCCAATATAGTTATATTAATTTATGGAGCAACACGAGACCAGCCTGAGCAAGAGCGAGACCCCATCTCTACTAAAAATGGAAAAGTTAGTCGTGCCTGGTGGTGCACACACCTTGCCTGCAGTCCCAGCTACTCAGAAGGCTGAGGCAGGAGGATCGCTTGAGTCCGGAAGTTTGAGGTTGCTGTGAGCTAGGCTGATGCCACGGCACTCTAGCTCAGGCGACAGAGTGAGACTCCGTCTCGGAAAAAACAAAAAGAAACCGGGGCTTACTGACACATGCCACGATAGGAATGAACCTTGAAAACATTATGCTAAGTGAAAGAAGACAGTCACAAAGACCACTCATTGTATAATTCCATTTATAGGAAAAGTCCAGAGTAGTCAAATCTATGGAGACAGACAGTAGATTAGTAGCTGCCTAGGGCTGGCGAGGCGAGGGAGGAAGAAGGTTAGGGGGAAGTGGGCAGTGACTGCTAATGGGCACAGGGTTTCCTCTGTGGGTGAGGAGACTGTTCTAAAATTGTGGTGATGGTGTACAGCTCTGTGAATATACCAATAGCCATTGGATTGTGCACTCTAAGAAGGTGAATTATACCGTATAAGATTATCTCTCTGTAAACCCATTATTTTTTTAAAAAAAAGAAAGGAAAAGAAACAAGCGCTAGACTCCATAGGTGACCCCCGCCCACTGCTCAGCCTGGGCGACATGGTGGTGCCTTCTTCACTGGATGGAGAAGCGCAGCCGTGCCTGGACGTGCTCGCAGCGGGGGTGCTTCATGGTCAGCCCATAGATGGGGGTCAGGTCCACGTGCAGGCCTGGTGGCACGCTGAACTCCAGCTGCTGCAGCAGGATGGCCAGGAACAGGAAGACCTCCCACCTGGCCAGGACCTCCCCGATGCAGCGGCGCTTGCCCAGGCCAAAGAGCATCACCTTCTCACTCACGGGCTTGTGGATGGCCGTGCCTTCAGCAGTGAGGAATCGCTCAGGCCGGAAGGCAGATGGGTCCCCCCATACCCCCCTGCAAGAGGAACAGAGGAAATGGGATCTCAGGACTTGGGGGCGTCGCCTGCAGGGCAAGGCCTGGGGGAGACGTCTGGACAGACTGTGCTGAGAACACAAGGTCAGAACAGATTGAAAGCAAGGAAGGCTTAGTGGGAAAGGGACCAAACTGAACTTTGATGCTCACTTCTTTTACAAAGTTCTCTCTGAAGTGACCAGCCTTGAAGATAGTGCCTTTTAATATTAATTTGTGATTTTAAATAAGGCTTTAGTCTAAAAGAAATTAAAAGAAGGAAAACATGTTTATCTTCATTCTACTCAAAATGTGCCCATAGCAAGGGGCATCAACAGTGTGTTCTGGTTTATGCTATTGTTTTGGAGTAATTACTAATAGTGCAAATAGTGACAGCACCTTCACACTCTGAAGTGTGCCAGTTTGGCTGGTAAATTACATGGTCCTCCTGCCTAGAGACTGAAGTGGGGTTTTCCAAAGAGAGGTCTCTGGGCCTTCACATCGGAATCACCTGATGTGATTCTGCTGAACACAGAATCCTGGGGGATCCCGGGCTCCGTCAGCTGGAACGAACTTCCTAGTCCATTCTCGTGTGCATTAGAGTTTGAGAGCACGGACCTAAATTTTGTCACTTAGAACGAGCCATATAGCAGCTGAGGCCCTGTTCCTTCCTCGTAGAACAAGTTCCTAGCAGGGACAAACAGCCTTCCCGACTGCTGAACATGCACGCATTTATCCGTGACGGATGTGTACTCACTGGTCGTGGTTGACCTGCCACTGGTTTATGAAGACACAGCATTCTTTGGGAATGTAGAAGCCATTCAGTGTCGTGTCCTTTGTTGTGCTGAGGAGGAAAGAGGGCTCCGTCAGGCTCAGGGCTGGAAGGTGGGGTGTGTCTCACGCCTACCTCTACCCCACCCCAAGGGCCTGCCTACTATGGTCTCCAAACCCTATACCAGGGGGACTGTGGGGTGCAGGGAGGAGGCGGGATCACCCTCCCCCTTCCTTGGCTCCTGTTCCTCAACTTCAGCAAGTGTTCACTAAGCCTTTCTCTGTGCCCAGCTGTGCACTTGGCTATTCTTGGGAGCCCAGGAGCAGGAAGTCTGGGCCAGCCCTGGGGAGTTTCTAGCCTGGCTGGGGCGTTAGGCCTCTCACTGCAGGAATCACTAGACCAATATTTGGGCAGATGTGAATGTTCACTAACTCTCTGGACATTGTCAAAATTCCAGGACATGAACAATGGCTGTAAGTCCTATAAGACATCAGGAATGAAGCTGTGCCAGCCGGATGAGGCAAAAAGGCCTGGAGTAGGAAAAGCTTATGTGGGGCTTGACCTTGAGCTAGGATGGGATTCCGGTAGTCACAGAAGAGGGTAGAAGGCATTGCAGGCAGAAGGTCCAGCCTAAGCAAAATTGGGGGCTGGCAGGATCATGCTGGTGAGGGACGGCGAGGCAATTGGCCGGAGCAGGGGGACTTGTAGGGAGGGAGCAGGAGCAGCGGTGGAGGAGAGCTGCTGGTTGGGGCATGTTTGGACTGGACCGGCTGGGGTCTGCGAGGAACCCGACGCTGCGGTCAGGAAGGAAATGCCAAGGTCTGAGCCAGGGCCGGGGCTGAGAAGCGGGGAGGAGAGAACATGGCAAGGACTTCGCAGGCGGGGGCGGACGGGAGAGGCAGGTCTCACCAGTGGGGGATGGTGAAAGGGACGAAGGAGGCGTGTCGGAAGGTCTCCAGGATGAAGGCCTCCATGTAGGGCAGCCGGGGCCGGTCAGACAGCCGGGGCCGCCGCGCCCTGCCGACCACCGCGTCTGCGGAACACAGAGGACACGCAGAGCTTGAGGGCTGCCCCGGCTGCCCCATGGCATCTGTGTCCCCTATTATATCGCATGACACTCTATGTGAGACCATAGTCACATATCTGAGACCCCATTAACCCTCCACATCTTCTGGGCAAGGGTGGGTGCCACTGTATGCCCAGGGCTTGCACACAGTAGGCACAACAGGTATCTGCAGACTGAAAAACAACCTGGGTCCCAAGGCTTCTCCTGGCCACAGGGTTGGGGGCCACGACATACCCAGCTCCTTCTGGATCTTTCTCTGTATCTCAGGCTTGGTCACAAGGTACATAAGGCTCCAGGAGATGGCTGTTGTGACCGTGTCAAACCCTAGACAGTGCAGGGTGAGGTGAGGGAGGAAGGAAGACAGGAACAGGAAACCATCACTTACCAAGCATCCGCCATGCAGGTACCATGGATTACCCTCCCCAGCCCTCGCCTGTGAGTTTCCTGAGGGCAGGGGCTGGGTCTCTTCAACATCAACTTAAGACACTGGTTTCATAATTAGATGCTGGAATTACAGGAGCCTAGACTTACACGCCTTTATTGTTCAGATGGGGAAACTGAGGAGGAAAGACAGGGGAGGAGAGGGATTTGGTCGAGTTTCTAATGGGAGTTGGTGGCACAGCCTAGGTTCAAACCCTGATCCCAGGCCAGGTCTCTGTGTCTTGTACCATCTGGTGTGTGGTTGGCAGGTTACTTGATGGACTTGGGTTGGGCAAGGCTGTGGGTGGACAACAGGCACTGATGGCTGGAGGGGCAGAGGTCTGGCTCCTACCGGCTCCGAAGAGGTCGTTGATAAGGTTGACTGTCTTCTCCTGGGAAATGAGGTCACTGCTGGCTCTGGAGCCCATCTCTCTGTGCTTGAACAGGGCGCCGGTGATGTCCTGGACACTGTTCTGAGGGGCCAAAAGCTTAGGGGCACCTCTGGAAGTTCCAGGGCTAAAGGACATACTTTACTTCACCCCCTGACCTGCCCCTGGGGGATGGGCACTGCCCCCACCCCCAGGCGTGGGCTGGGGCTCACAGCAGGAGCAGGTAGCAGCACTGAGTAGGGCTTAAAGTGTCATTTCATGCCCCATTGACTCTTCTTCTCAACAACCCCAGGGATCTAATTTCAAAAAAGGAAGAGGTCAGTGTGAAATCAGGGAAGCAAAATGACACTGGAGCTGGGGATTAGCCTCTGTTGGGGTTCGGGTTCCTGCAGAACAAAAGCCTTCTCCCTCATGGGCCCCCCACATTGCAGGACTCTGCCAGGTCCCACTCACAGGCCTTTTCTCTGAGGGGCTTTGAGCAGCCCTGAGAGGAAGGCTGGAAGGGTGAGGAAACGGGGGCCCAGAGAGGGGAAGGGGTTGGCTGCAGGTCAGATGCCGGTCTGAGGTGTACAGCCTCCCTAGGCCTGGGCAGCGCGTCAGCCTCGTGGGCACATTGCAGCTGGGTGAGAGGGGCTGCGCCCAGGCCCTGCAGGGTGCCCCTCACCAACTGCCCCCGGGCTCACCTTGTCGAAGTCCTGATAGTGCTCCCGGACTGTTTTCTGCACAAACCGCAGGGTCCTCTGGTTGAAGTCTTTGAACCTCTGCAGGGCGGGATTGGGCAGGTAGCGAAGGATGGGGAAGAAGTCCACGGGGTTCCCAGAGGTGGCGGACTCCACGAATTCATGGCTGTTCCTCACGATGCTCAGCATCTCCTCACTGCCCTGGGGGAAGTGCTGCCCGAAGCACATGGCACCAATGACATTGGCCACCGACACCACCACCTGGCTGTAGGGGTCAAAGTGCCCAGCCCCTGCCATCAGCTCCTGGAACTTGCTGATTAGGGCTTCAGCCTCCTTGCTCACATGCTCCTCCAGGTAGCAGGAGGACGAGGAAGCCGGGTCGGAGGCGATAGAGAAGGCGCTGAGGGCATTCTGGGCCAGGTGCCGGTGGGCAGCCCACACCGGTCCGGAATCTGGGCTGAAGGTCAGGCTCTGGCCATCAGAGACCAGGGTGAAGCTGTAGAAGTCAGGCCGGCCCTTGAAGTCGTCACCCTGCCGCACCAGGGCCTGCCGGATGGTGTCCAGGCCGCTCAGCACCAGCACGGGCGTGGAGCCAATGCGGATCTGCAGCACGTCCCCGTACCGCTGGCTCATCTTGGCCAGCACCACGTGCGGGCTCTTCCCCAGGGTCAGCACGTGCCCGATCAGGGGCCAGCCCCACGGCCCTGGTGGGCTCTTCAGGCCTTTGGGGACCTGAGGCCTCGAGGCCCCGACCACCCAGAATACCAGGCAGAAGACGGCAGACGCCAGGAGAAGCTCTGTGGCTGAGAAGGGAACAGCCTGGGACAATGCCATCTGTGCCAACTACAGGGGAAAAGGAAAGAGGGGCTAGGCCGGGGGTCGAGATGGAGACATGCATTCATTCATTCACTTAGTCATTTGATAAACACTGACACATGTTCTGTGCTTGGCTCCCAGCTGAACACTACAAAGACTGAGATACATCTCCCACGTGTCCTCTGCCCAGGAGCTCACCTTTAGCACATCACAGCATCTGAGGGCTAGAAAGGAGCCTCAAGAGTCCCACCTTGAGTGTCTGAATGCCCAGCCCTGGCTGTCTCCTCTACCCATCATGTCAGCTTCCAATTCTGAGGCTGCAGTGGAGGCAAGTGACCACCCCGGAACGGGGGAGCCGAAGACGGCACCCCTGCCTGCCCCGGCACAGCGTGTACACTGGGCTTTGTGCCAAAGGGTCCCCACTGGTGCTGGCTTCCTGCTGATACATCTTACATACTCAGGGAACAGGGAGTTCCCCTCCCTAGTGACACTGAGGAGACCAAGATCCCAGGGCTGATACAAATGGCCTGTAATGCTATCTTCCCGTGACCCTGTTTATCAACACTAAGGAAGAGACCTCCTCCAAGGGTGAGTTCCCATCCCCTCACAGTCTTTTTATTCATTTATTTATTTTAGAGGTAGTGTCTCACTCTGTCACCCAGGCTGGAGTGCAGTGATGTGATCATAGCTCACTGTAACCTTGAACTCCTGGGCTCAAGCGATCCTCCTGTCTCAGCCTCCCAAGTAGCTGGGACTAGAGGTGCATCCTACCATGCCTGGCTAGCATTTTAAAAAATATTTTGCAGAAACAAGGTCTTGCTATGTTGCCCAGGCTCCCTCACCGTCTGAGAGGTTGAGGTTGGGCTGTAGCCAGGGCCCGGGCTGCCCTTGTGCCAGGGGGCACCCCTCCCTATCTCTCCATTCCAACCAAGTAAGGGTCCTTAGAGATGGCCTAGTCCAAATTGCTCATTTACAAGTGGAGATTGAGACCAGCCTAGGCAGCAGCACAGTGAAAGTCTGAGGTCGCAGTGAGCTATGATTGTGCCACTGCACTCTAGTCTGGGTGACAGAGTGAGACCCTGCCTCAAAAAATAAACAATAAATAAATAAAAATGGAGAAACTGGCTGGGTGTGGTGGCTCATGCATGTAAGCCTAGCACTCTGGGAGGCCAAGGCAGGAGGATTGCTTGAGCTCAGGCACTCTAGCCAGGACAATGGAGCGAGACTCTGTCTCAAAAAAAAAAAAAAAAAAAAAAAGAGAGAGAAACTGAGGCTCAGAGCTGAGTAGCAAGAACTAGAACTCAGGCCTCCTATACCTAGCCTGAGGTCCCCCCATCTTTCTATTCCACTAGTTCCCAGGATACATAGTGGGGGAGGGTCCCAGGGACTGAAAAATGGGCCCAAGAAAGGTACCTGAAATCAGCAGGGTTGTAGGGTCTGGTGTAGAGCTTCTGGCTCTATATGTGGGGACTGTTTATAAACCCCACCCCTACGGATTTGGCCTGGCTGTCCTGGTCATCTGATATTAAAGTTGGATCACTGAACAAAGCTGTAAGGATCAACTCTTGGCCTTGAGCCATGATCCCTCAGCTGCACCTGGTATTCGGGGCCTGGGGGAGCTTGCTCTCTGGGCATAGGCTGGAAGGGGTGCTGGGCTCCTGGGGATGAATATCCAGCTCTTTTCAGCGTTCAGGGTGGGGGGCATTTTTTCTCATGGGCAGGGCAGGGTGCAAGTTAGGCCTCTGGACTGGCCTAGCCTTCTTTCCCACTGCACCCAGGAGGAAGAGTCCTGCCTGGGCTCTCAGTCCTGGCCAACCAGGCTCGCTGCTTCTCTGCAGAAGGGTCTTCGTGGTACCGTCCAGTGGCCTGCGGAGCCAAAGGGAAACGGGCATGTGCCAACTGCCTCCGACTTCCAACCTGAGTCCCCGATCTGAAAAGAAGAGATGATGAGGATTTGCATTCCAAAGAGAGACTCTCACCTGCCCCCTACCTGTGTCAGAGGTGGAATGAAGAAAATCCACGCGTGGGCTGTTCCTCGTGGCAGCTGGCTGGGACTCTTCAAAATAATCAATGTCATTAAAAAAGAAACGACAAGGGCCTATTCTATAGAGCAAAGACTTAGAGACATACAACCAAATGTGATATGTAAACCTTGATTGAATGCAGTATTTAACCAAGATTTTTTTTTTTTGAGACAGAGTCTCACTCTCTTGCCTGGGGCGAGTGCCATGGCGTCAGCCTAGCTCACAGCAACCTCAAATTCCTGGGCTCAAGCAATCCTACTGCCTCAGCCTCCCAAGTAGCTGGGACCACAGGCACGCACCACCATACCCGGCTAATTTTTTCTACATATATTTTTAGCTATCCAATTAATTTCTTTCCATTTTTTGGTAGAGACGGGGTCTCGCTCTTGCTCAGGCTGGTCTCGAACTCCTGAGCTCAGAACGATCCACCCGCCTCGGCCTCCCAGAGTTCTAGGATTACAGGCGTGAGCCACTGCGCCCGGCCTAACCAAGATTTTTTTAAAGCTACAAAAGATGCTTTTGAGACAGTTGGGGACATGTGAACATGAACTGGAGATTAGATTGTATTCCGGAATAAATGTTAATTTTCTTAGGTGTGAACATAGTATCACGGTTATATGGGTGTCTAACCTCATTCTTAGGAGATTAATGCTGTAGTGTTTAGGGGTGAGGTGTCATAACGCCTGCAACCTCCTTTCAAATGGCTCTGTCAACAACGTGCGTCTATCTGTCGAGAAAGTAAATATGAGAAATGTCAGCGACCCACGAACCTAGGTGAAGACATAAGCATGTTTGTTGTACTAAAGGAGTCTTTAAGAGCAACTAAGGTCTCAGTCAGGTTGAAGAGGAGGATGGGGACAAAGCTTAAATTGGATGTAAGAAGGAAATTTTGATTTAGAGTGGATTGAACTTTTTATTGCCGAAAATGAGAAAGCTGTAGGATCAGCCTGTGACGATGTCAAGGTGCAAGGATGGGGAAAGCAGCAGAGTGACAGAGCACGTTTGAAGACGGTGGGCAACTGGAAAGGAAAGCCGGTCCCGTCTGTGTCCCTCCTGGGTCAGCTCGCTCAACGGAAAAGGTCAAGGTTTGAGGTTAGGCTGAGTTTTATAGAAGACTGATGCCTTCTTTCTCTTTCTGTCTCCTGTCTGTCCACCCCCCTGTCTCTGTCCTTCTCTGTCTGCCCCACTCACTAACTAAAGTCCGAAGTTGGTTTAGATTGTCTTGGTTTTCACCTAATGCCCTTTTTTTTGTTCCAAGAACCCGTTGAAGATGCCCCGTGTCATTTGGTCATCATGTCTCTCCGGACTCCTCTTGGCTGGGACAGTTTTCCAGACTATCCTTGTCTTTGACACCTGGACAATTTTTAGGAGTCCTGGTCGGGTGTTTCACAGGATGCTCACGACTGGGGTTTGCGTGATGTTTTCTCGTGCTGAGCCTGGGTTGTGGGTGATCAGTAGGAAAAGCTCAAAGGTGAAGGGCCATTTGTATCACGTTGTCTCCAGGGTACACGCTATCAACGTGACTTATGACTGTTGACATCGACCTCAATTGCCCAGCTGAGGCCGTGCATGGCAGGTTTCTCCTCCACAAAACGACTCCTCCCCTGCTTTCCGTACTGTGCGCCGTGGAAGGGAGTTACCATGTGCGGCCCACACTAAGGAGTGGGCAGTTACGCTCCTTATCCTCGAGGACGGAGTAGCTACATAAACTATTTGGAATTCTTCTGTAGAAGAGACTATCTTTTCATTTTTAACGTTTTCTTAAAACTTTTAAAATTAAATTACAAGGTAAGACACAGAAAAGTGCATACATCACGTATAGCTGAGTGAATTTTCACGCACTTAACAAACCCAAGTAACTGGCTCTCAGATCAAGAGATGGCGCCTCCCCAGGGGCAGCCATGGCTTCTGAATGCACGGATTAGTTTCGTCTGTTTTTGGTCTTTGTATAAATGAAATCATGCCATGTGTGCTCTTTTTGGGGGGAGCATGGAAATTTGAAAAATTAACAGATTTTATTTTTTACAACAGTTTTTGGTTTACAGAAAAATTAAGTGGAAAGTGAGATCTCCCATTTCCCTTCCTCCACCCCCCGTTTCCCTTATTAACATCTTGCGTTAGTGTGGCGCGTTCGTCACAGCTGACGATGAATGTTGGTGCCTTGTTAGTAACTGAAGACCATGGTTTAGATTGAGGTGCTTTTTATGTTGCATAGTTCTGTGGGGTTTTTTCCCACTTTTTAAATTGTGGTAAAATACACATAAAATTTGCCATTTTAACTGTTTTACATCAGTGGGTAGTACGTACTCTTGTGTCTGGCTGTCACTTAACATCCTTTTTTTATGAGACTCATCCACAGCGTTAGGTGTAGGTGTAGTTCATTCTCATTGCTGTGTCCTGTTCCGTTATTATATGAACACTCAATACCTTCTTCATCTATTCAACTGTTGATTGACATTTGGGTTGTTTTCTGTGTTGCGCCATGATGAGCCCTGACACCAGGAACATTCTTACTTTTTTTTTTTTTTTTTTTTTGAGACAGAGTCTTGCTTTGTCATTCTGGGTAGAGTGCAGTGGCATCATCATAGCTCACTGCAACCTCAAACTCCTGGGCTCAAGTGATTCAGAACTCCCTGCCTCAGCCTCCCAAGTAGCTGGGACTACAGGCTCACACCACTGCACCCAGCTAATTTTTCAATTTTTTTTGTAGAGATGGGGGTCTCGCTCTTGCTCAGGCTGGTCTCGAACTCCTGAGCTCAAACAATCCGCCCGCCTCGGCCTCCCAGAGAACTAGGATTACAGGCGTGAGCCACCGCACCCGGCCACATTCTTACTTTTGAATGCATGTCTGCTGTGGACTGGAATTGCTGGGTCACAGGATAGGTGAGTGTCCAGCTTTAGTAGCTTCTACCAAACAACTTTCCAAAGTAGGTGAACCGATTTGTACGCCCACCAGCTGTGTATGCAAGCTCCATCTGCTTCTCCTCCTCACCACCA